GCAAGACATATTTGTCCACCGTCAACGGCTCGTCCAAGACACGGGGTAAAGTCGACATGATGGTAGGGTAGACGCGCATGGTTTCCTTGATGACGGCGTTCAGGAACGGAAGGTCTTTGAGGTCGTTTAGGGTCTCGTTGCAGATCTGCAGCTCTTGCCTTAGACGGTCTTGTCTCTTGGGGTCCCGCGAGAGAGAGTAGATCAGGTAGGTCAGCGTGGTGGAGGTTGTGCCGCTGCCAGCAAAGGCAACGGCCATCATGTCGTCGACGAGCTCTTCTTGGTTCATTTTGCGGCCGAGGTAGGCATCTTCGTTGACGATCATCGGTGTGGTCATGAAGCGCTGTCTGATATCTGAAGCTGCTTCGTTCTGCTGGAACTGCTCCACCAAAGTCCTCGTCATTGATTCCCACACGTCCCATCCTCTGTAGGACTTCCCGATATTACCGGGGATGTGCTTTCCAATAGACCGAGTAATGAATGGGAGAGCGGCACGGACTTGGATCGCCACGGCGCTGGAGTCCATCGCCCTAAGCAGCGTTAATGAGTCCCCTGCTGGGGAGTCCCCGTAGTGACGATTGAAGGCACATTTCAATATGACTTCCAGGCTGAAGAGGCCATCGAGGAGGAAAACGTCAGCCACAGTTTTAGATGAATTGTTCCCTGCGTGTGAATTCATAATACGCCTCACCAACACATCGGCTCTGTTGGCGATAAAGTCCTCATTTTCCAAGACAGCCTGTTGAGAGTACGCCGGGTTTTGCAGTTTTCGGCGTCCAGAGTGCGCTTCTTTGTTGATGATGGTAAAGAGATTCCCCGGCCCAGCTAGTTTAGTGTCCTCGTAGAAATGGTGTGTCTTATTACTACCTTTTTGGCTATATATTTGGCGGTAGGCGGTCCATTCAGAGATGGATACCTCGTTGGTTCCTATCCGAACGACAGGACCGTACTTGTCATGCAAACTCCGCAGTGTCTGCTCCTCCGTCAGCCAACGCTCTGCACCGATGAGGGCTTTATCTCCAATTAAGTTCGTACCTGGGCCCTGTGAAGACCTGCTTGAGCGGGAGCCATGTAGGCTCCAAAGACTTTTGCAAGCCACGGTCCTGGGACAGATGCTATCGGGTGCAGAAATACATTGTAGATTGCCTCAACTTGTCGTCAATTTAGGTGCATCGCATGAATAATATTCGGCCTCACTTGAAGAATAAACCTGGTCACCGCAAAGATTGCTATAGCCAGACCAAACAGCTGGACCTTTTTTTCGTTCATAGTCTCATAGGACAGCTCTCTGCCCCAGGTCTGGACGGCATTGAAGAATGACATTTCTACCCTAGTGCTTGTTGCCGCACCAGCTATGCACTCTGTCGGTCCTATCCTTGACTGAGAGATGCTGTTGCGCCTCCGCAAATAGCGGACATGTCGGACGGCGAGGCAAGCAACTGCTCGCCATGGGTATATATTTGCAAGTCTCGGGCACTCCTACAGGTCAAATCTCTGGACGGCTCCATGAGGGGATGGAAACCTTGACAATCCATCGTCGAAACAGTTATCCGAGGTGCAGAGTTGAGGAGTTGAAGTGAAGGGGTACTACGTGGTAGGCGGACATACCATCGGTGTATGGGGAAAGCTTTGCGGATCCCCAGATCCTAAACATGCCAGAATGTAGGGCAATAGACTCTACGGATACGAGTGCGGTGGACAGCGGGTGCCTCATCATTTGCGAGTTCCAAAGCACACGGGAGAGGAGGATCAACGGCTAGACACCAATTCGCAGGAGCATTGTGAAGAAGGCTGAGCAAAATGTCAAGAGACTCAAGATTTCGTCTCTGCATGGGCTTCAATACGTAAAGTACTCTACTCGTCGTTGCCGCTAGGAGGAATCTCTCCTTCACTTCGGCCTAGGTATTCCTTCAGAGGCTTACCCTGCACTTCAACCGGCTGCGAGTCCTGCAAGATGTAGACAACCCTCGTCCAGTCAGTCTTACTTGGATTCCTCCAAGCATGGTTGGTGCCCCGTTGCACGCAGACATCGCCCCGCTGCAGGAGCTGCCGTTCGCCGGAATCGAGGATCAGCTCAATGGAACCTTCGACCACAATCCCATAGTCCAAACTCCTGGTCCGATGCATCATGGATTCAAACTCGGGAGCAAAGTCAACAAATCTCAGTACCGTCCCGCTGGGGTTGACGATGCCCATCTTTCCAGAGTTGATCCGCTCGTCGTGTTTCTTGATGTCGATATCGTTGTTCATTGAGACGGGAAACTCAGACGTGGTGAAGACCTCGTGGAAGGTCATGCCCCCGCCGTCGATTGAACGCCATTTTGCTGGTCGCTTCTCTTGAATGGTCGTGTCTCCTGTGGATGGTTTGTGGCCGGTAATGTATGCTGTCAATCCAGGCAGGTCTGTGGCCAATTGGCCTTCAGTAGGAGGACGTGTTTGTGAAGTCATTTTTGCTATTCCCAGGACAAGCGCATCAAGGTCGAACGGGTACGGAGTACTTCACCTCGGATTATATTGTTCCAGAACTCGTTTCCATATCACCGGATGTGAGTATACGGTTGCAAGTCTCCACCGGGGCCTTCGGAGGGTCATTCGGAACATTGCCGTGGATGATCGACGCCCCTTCCTGGCGGCGGGGTTCCGGAACCCCATGTGCGGCCGCTCGGCTTCCTCGATCATTTGCAAAAGCTGGAGGACCCACACTGGGCCTTGTGGTCAGCTACAGGACACCACTGGAATTCCGGCAACTCGGGATGGGCAATGATGTGGTTGCCGGCGGCCTAGATAACTGTTGAGATCAGGTCCACCCAACATTGACACAAAACTGTACTCTCTGGATCACTCTCCAGTACCTCTGGCAAGGCAATCATGGGTAACCGCTTCCCAATAGTGAAGCATCCACAGACCGGCTGCTGACAACCTCCCAGGGATAACACCAGTACACTTCTTTTCTCACGGTTCAACCCGCATGCTCGAGGCCGACACTGAGGCCGGAGCCTATTGGACAAAGTGCGGAGAAGAAGCTCTCGCTCATAATGTCAAGGGAATCGTCATAATGGTACGTCTCCACTCATAGAAAGGGTTTCTAGGTATCCGTGTCGTGACAACTCGCTGGTTTGAGAACGTAACGCCGACTGATTTCCTCGCTCAGGGTGCGCACTGGGCCTGCCTCGGCGACAGGATCGAAGTGGCCACCAACCCGGCCCCAGGCAAGAGCTTCTGCCCATTCTCCAGTCCCGCATTGTACAAGGACTGGAAACCGAACCCCGACCTAGCTACGGCTGAGAGATGTATATCCATGCTCCAGGCTGAGGGTTTCAACGCCGGGCCCAACCCGGACTTCACCTGGATCCACGACGTCTTCATGATCCTCATCCGCATGTTTCCAGACCATACCAAGTGTCCGCCGGTGACCATCATCTCAACCAATGCGCGATACGACCCTTGGTACCACGTCAAAGTTGGCGCGACGCTGCGCCCGCTCAGAAAGGAAGGATACTTGCTCATCGGCACGGGCGGCGCTGTCCACAATCTCTACCGCAACGCCTGGACGGACATGCTTCTGTACCGGGAGTCGTTGGGCCAGGAGCGTCCGCCCGAAGCGTGGGCCCTCGATTTCAGACAAGCCACTGAAGACGTGGTGACCAAGAATCGCGGCCCGGCTTTGAGAAAGGCCATGGTCCGTCTTATGCAGCACCCGGCGTATCGCGACGCCCAGGCTACTGATGACCATTGGATGCCGGCACTGTTCGCGGCCGGTGCGGCGGGCGACTTTGAAGACGAGGCCGAGCCTAATGTGCTGGCTGCCGAGACGTGGGAGCTCGTCAACATGGCAAACTCGCAGTTCACGTTCGGTCGTTATAAGGATGACAGGGAGAAGATGTTCGTCGGACGACAGGAGACGGAGAAGTTGTCTCACCCCAGACTGGCGACGGTGGCTGCCTGATTTTGCACTCTATGTAGCGGTACGCTGGCCACTCATCGAGTCCATCATTCGAACTCGGTGCATTATCGACATTTAAGCTGGAAAGATATCTGCACAGTTACGCTTGCATCAAGGAGGATTCTTGAGCGTATATAGTTCCCGTAAAGAACACAGGGCTCCGGGTGCTGGGTTCTGATCTACTGGCCGTTGATCTGTTCAACAGTGTCGTTGGCGAGTACCGGATGACGAGCCAATGGATCAACGAAAGAGGATGCGTCTTTAAGCAATTCCGTAAGCGGGTTGCAGCCAAGGATTGTAACAACATTTCGAAGCCAACTCACAAACCTCGTCCATAATATCCAAGAACCTCGATGCATTCTGGGTGTTCCGAGCCGGAGCAACTGTTGACTCGATGCCCGTCCTATCTGCGGCGGTGTAGATTTTGATGATGATGAGGCCGGAGGCCGGGACCAGTCCCGATGCATGTCTATTCACGGTTGGGGAATTGACCAGCCGCAAGGACACGGGAATGGCAGTTCGACAAAGTGATCTTGTCTTAAATGATACGTTCAGTTGCTCGAAAAGGCTGTTGATCCAGGGGAAGGCATTGGATCCAGAAAGGAACATGCGACTTATTGCGAAAGGAGTACTTGAGTTCGACGGCCCAAAAGGAAAAAGGACTTCATTGCAATCCATTGATGTGTCATTTATTCGGCCCCGGTGCCACCTTTCTTCCCTCAATGAAAGCCATATCGAACTATTGTGCTGAAAATGAAACCGGAAATCGGTTTGATATGGCTCGGGGATTGCTCGGTGTGTGCTACGGATCTGTTATATTTTAACGGATTCATGTGATCTCATCACCTCCCCGTAGTCTCCGAGGCTTTCCGTATCCTACTTTGGACGCTCATCTCCCTTTCTCGCACATTCTCGTGATTTTGGAACAACGTAGGCGCCTACTCTAATCTTTCGCCAGCCCGACGTTCTGGATCCGAGCATCGAGATAAGAGCCTGTACTTGACAGGAGAGCAATTCGTTCAAGCCCCTATCTTATGCTTATCCGCCTAGAGTGTGCCTGTCACGAGGATGCCAGAGCAGTTTGATCGTCGAGATCGTTGCAGTAGTGAGTTACACCAGCAGCACACATCATGCCGGTATACATGGCATTGGTTGCGTGAGTCATCTCTGTGCAGGTATCTCCAGCAACGAAAACGCCAGGTATGTTGGTGCTCTGGAACGGAGGACGCGCCAAAGCAACAGTGGCAGTTGGGGAGAGCTCTACCCCTAATTGGGACAGAAGTCGTGGTGCTGCAGGGGCAGTCGATGGCTTATGAAACAAGAACGCCATGTGTACGGCCGATTGAGAGCCATCCTCGTTGCGGACATGAACGTACACACCCTCTTTTTCTGTGTCGGCGACCAGTTTCACCACCGGCCTAGTGTCGATGAGCATACGGTGAGCGGCGCAAGTATCCAGTGCTTTCTGGATTTTTGGATCGCAGTGGACGTTTGGAGGTCCGTTGGTGAACACGGTCACCTTGGGCTGGGAGCTTCTTTCAGTGGCAGGCTGATCACGTTCTACACGTGGCGGGGACATGCAATGCAACATCGTAGCCATCTTTGCCATCATTGGGTTGAAGGAGGGATAGCACAGAACGCCCTTGGGTAGTTCTCTGCGTTCGTATCCATCGCAAAACAGGCACTGATATCTGGAATACGTCGGTCAGCAAAACCTAGGCTATTAGGGGGCAGTCCCAATGTCAATGTGCTAGGAGGGTCGTACATATTCGCGGGCCAGTTCTCCACATAGCCCTCAAGATCGGGCAGAAGATCATGCACTCCTGTTGCAAGGACAATGCTCCTGCCCTGCCAGGATCTTCCTTCAGCGTCCCTGGCGACGAAGTTCGAAAGTACCTCAGCTGTTCGAGCAACATCGACGATTTCTGCCTCCACGAAATTGGTATTCTGGTACCTTGCAATTTGCTGCCGAGACAGGTGGTAGAATGAATTTGGATCGATGTGATCTCGGCTCAGCACCGCATGGATGTGTTTTGCATCTTTATTTCGATGGTTTTGGTGAGAGAATACGACACAGGAGCGGTTAACTCGACCGAGACCAAGTGCAACACTAAGGCCTGCGGCCCCCCCTCCGACAATAAGGCAATCGTAAATCATTGTTCTGTTGTGCGAGAGTCCATGAGGATCGGGCCCCGTTGGCGCACCACTATATATATAAGAGCCTCTTGATTCAGGACGGAGAAATAAAAACTTGCTCACCATCAATGTTGAATAAGTCTCCGAAACGCCGCGATAGAAAAATGTGTGCAACCCTGGCTTTGGGCACTGGAGGACAATATTCGACATTGTTCGACTCCGTGGCGAAGCTGATCAATATCTCTAGGAAGCTATCACTCTTCGGCGCCTTTCGTTCTCGATACTCGACAACGCTGTGGAGGCCCACCAGCCCGATGTTCGGTGACATTCTGTTCTTGGTAGATTAGCCAGATTAACAGGACCAAACTTCTCCAAAGGTTCGCTCCTTTTGCTTGATAGCGGTGTATTACAATGAGAAAGAGCCACGGAGTTATCCTAGCCCAGTTTCGACATCGTTGCTCGCTGCCCGCGGCTAGAATCGTCCAAGGGGTGGAACAAGCAGCACTCGAATGCCTTGCTTAGCTGCCGGAGGACCTCGTCCTCTGGTGACTCAATTGCATCTAGTTGTAACAACATGCTACAAACCGGGTCGAGGTCTTTTCAAACCCATTGACCTTAGTGTCAGTTCTGAATAGACAATCAGACAACTTGAGCCGTATTGGCCTGCTCCATGATCTCTCCGATCGACTGGTCTCGCCTAACCAGCCTCAGGATCGGCCAACCAGATGTCTCCGCCACTTTGAGCAACCTTTGGCCCGAATGAATCTGTTCGTTCAGCCTTCTCTATGTTCACGAAACAGCGTCAGAAGCATCGGAATTGAAGAGCTTACTTTGGATCTTGACGCGGGCCTTGTTGAGTCGGTCGATATCACCACAGATGTATCATCACAGCTCGCTAAAAAACCACTTTATACCTCTATAAGTCGAGAAACCAGATCTGGATGACGTACTGACAAGGATGCAAAATTCCCGACAGCGTAACTCGTTGACTCCGCCTTCCGTTTCCTCGCTTTCCACAATAGCTTTCGTCGTTGTATGTGTTGGACCAATCTGGTGGTCAATAGGTGATCGATTGAGAAGGAAGAGAAGTTCTATCTGTGGAGGTTTTGAATACTAGGCAGTGCTGCAGGGCTAAGAGATCCAGGAAATATCCGAATCGGGCTCGCCCAAGGGTATGAAGCAAGTCAGACTAGGTCAGATGCTCATGTCTTCAGCTCCTTATTTCTATGCGCATCCTACCAAGCGTCCAAGTGTCACCCGAATTTCAGAGAGTCAATGAGGCGACGAGCCTGGTCCGCCACTAAGAGACATACCGGTCGGTCAAGAGAACAAGAGGTCTGAAAGGTGGTAGGAGCATCGGGCGGAGGTGAAACTGTGTGCCAAAATACTTGACGTCTTTCCAGATTGCTCAACACGTGCATGAAGCAAGGTCGCAAAGTGTCGGACGTGTCGTGGATTTCATGCAACAATGATTTCTTCGCCAGGCATCTCCACTCAGCCTCATCCAACTCTATCGTGAACGCAAGATCGAAGGCACTTTCTGCTACGACGTCGTTGTCAAGGCTCCGGAGGCTGACAGTTCGCTTGGCGTTAGCATTGCCGGCGATATGGTCCGTCAGAGTTAGTGAATCCAAAATCTTGGAGTAACACTCTGCAGCCGATAGGAGAAGCACGCCAATGAGCTGCGCATTCTGCATGGCCGACAGGAATCTCGTCGGACACACCTGACACTTCAGTGCGTCGGCAGCAGAGACGAGAGCCGCACGCAGCACCGCGAGAGATCCGGGAAATCGGAGACTCGGGATCGCCCTTAATTCATCGAGAGCCAGATAAAGAATGGAAATGCACGCACACCCCGTGGAGCCGGAGTACAGATGACTGGCAATGTTGGTGGTGCCGGGGGAGCTAGGTCCTTGCGTTAGATTGGCACCCGCTGGCTGAGCGGTGCCGGCTTACGTCAAAGATCCTTGAGCTGCGGACAATTGGCTGTGTGATAAGTCTGTCGGTGTAGCAGCGGTGAGACTACCAGTCGGAGAGTCTGGAGACGAATCGAGACTTGGTTGTTTCCTTGGTCGTCCCAAGGGTTTCCGAGGAGGATAGTGGCAGCCAGCCTGAAGACCAACGCATCGCATGCACGAAGGTAAGGCTCCGTCGCATCTGATCTTCCTAGACTCTGCCAGGCTTTCAGAACTCGAGATGGATCAACACAGCTCTAGATGGGTAGCTTACTGCACCCTGCGCAAGCTCTCTTCCTCAGTTCAGTCATCCTCCTTGCCAATGAAGGCACGGGGAACGGGTACAGCGGGCCTAGTCGTCTTTCAACGTACGGCCCAAAGCAGCAACGAAGAAAAGAAGAGAATTCATGCAAAGGATAGTTTTACTCTCCGAAAAATAATGGGCGAGCTCAAGATCAAATAAGTACCCGAGACGGCGAATTACTCCGCTTCACCTCTCCAAATCTGCGAATCATTTCGGCCAGCAGTGAGCAGGCGGGGTCTTGTTCGATTCGCGAATGGTGTGAGCTCCCAGCATCGTCATCATCATCAGGTCTGCTCTCAAAATGCCAAAGTAGCGCAATAGTCGCCGAGAGGACCTGAGAGTAGTGCCACAGGAATCCACACGCGGGTCCTATCTGGCCATCAAGATCCGTTACAGAACCTGCCGAAGCCCATACAGCCGAGATTCGAAAATCCCCACCACTCCACCTCATCCACTAGAAATTCTGGAAATTCCCTGGTCGAAAGTCACCGAGCCCGGAGAGCTCAGAGTGCTCTGAGACAAGCTTGGCTATCGAGAATTTAGCTTTCAGTACCTTGCGAGGATCATTAAAAGGGTTTGGTCAACCTCCGGGGCGAAGATATGCACGAAATGGTGGTCACAGTTACGCCGCATTCGAGGTGGATGGTCAAGCGGCTGCCCTTGAGGACCGACCTAAAATAACTGTATAGTTCATAAAGAAAGCTCTCCAAGTCATGCCAACTGATGCCACTTTGCCGCGACATTTCGCATTGTCAGTACGAATCCCGCAGAAATAGATACGTGATCCAGCTCGACGCAGAATGGAAGACTCTTTGTCGCAGTTGCACCACAACAACGCTATAAGTAGGGATTTGCAGCAACGGATTCCAGAGTCACACACATCATCTGATCACAATAGACTCAGGCAGGCCTTTTCCTGGGTGTCTCTATAAACGAAGGATCAGGACTGGAGAGATAGTGCTAACGATGGCCGTCTCTCTTGAATCGACTCGAGAGCAGGAAAACGCTGGATAGTTATGTCACTCGCCTAGTACCTAGAAACAAAGCGAGAAACTGGAGGGTACCGGTAAATCACAAACCATCCACATGACTGATCTTTATACTAATTAGAGTTGATGTGAAGAGGCCGAAAAGCTACTAGGCTGGATTGCTCTAGGCTTGTTTGTGTAGACCAATCATAAAGCAGGACCTCGGGGTCTATTACTATCGGCGACCATAGATTCACCCTGAACAAGGGAGTTGACAGGTCACAAATATAAAAGAGGAAATCTCTGTAGCTTGTGTTCCGGCGGTGGTAGACAAACACCCAGAGAAAGAGACGGCGTCCTTAATCACCCAAGAACAAGACGAGTATGGATAGTGAGGTACTGCAGGGTTGCTGTGGGATTGGAAACACTCCTGCTGGGTCCTGGTAAGACCTCGCTTTGGAGAAAGTGTTAGTTTCAACTGATGAGCGGAAAGGAAAGGGGGTCAAGCGCCAGCACGAGGAGAATACAGTGCAAATTCTATCGCCTCAACTCACAATACCTCTTCCTTCCAGGACGAGTGTAAGTCAACAGCTTCTCAGTAGGACCATAGCCACGCTGGGACTAATCATGCTGAATGGCTAGCCTTGTTGGACCCTGAGAAGGATTTCCGAGATTCCACAGCCACTTCTGGCTTCGATAGACAGTCTACACTCACCGCTTCTTTAGTGTCCGTCTTCTATGGCAGTGTTTTCCCATCGCATCCCTTTGTCATCCCGGAGAAGCTGTATCAAAAGGATCCAAGTCTCTTGCCCGATCACTTGATCGCAGCAATGTGTATCCTTGGTTCATCACTCGTTCCGGCGCCCTTTGTTACGCGAGAGGTTGCAGACTCTTTCCAGGCCACGGCAGCTCAAGCCAGCTTAGCCCATGTTCCTGATGACGGGTTCAAGGTTCAGAGTCTGATCCTATTAGCGCTCTCGGAGTATGCAAATAACAACCGAGCTATTGCATGCAGCCGCCTAAACCTAGCTGTCGATCTGGCCCTGCTTACCGGTATGAACAGGATGCAAAGCGCTACAGCTCCCGACTTAGAAACGCCAGCCATCCTCGATGAAATGTGGAACCGAACGTGGTGGGAATTATATTTCATTGCGGGTTTGTTCTCTGCATCTGGAAGCACCAGTTCCTGGATGCGGATGTCGCTCGCACCCGTCGATCGCCCCCTGCCTGGCCACTGTCGAGAGTACATTGAATGTTTAGCATCAAAACATACACCACCAGAGCTACGGTTTTATCGACGTCTACCACCAAAGCGTCACTACTGGTCTACCTTCGCTTTCAGGGTTGCTTCGATACACCTCATGGGCAAAATCCTAGAGTGGCAGTCCCAGACAAGAGTGCTAAGTCCTCCACTGGCCAGCCAGGCAGTCCAGGAAATGAACCTTCTAGTAGACTGCATGAAACTAAGTGGCAATGAAGTGGTGAAATGCGATGGGAGAATCGACGAGCAGCTCTTTTCGACTTCAATGATTCTCCATTTGACCAGGATTCTCCTTGACTGGCCGGAAGCTGGAGATATCCTTCGGAAATTCCCTCACCTCACCGATATTGGTCCCGACTTCATGACGACGGCCTCCTGCCCCAATGAGGAGTCAATCTCGGCCGCCCATGGCATCATCAACCTGATTCCATTGGACCTAAAGCTCTATCGGCGAACACCCTGCTTTGGACTAGCACTCGGGATGGCCGCCATCTTGTATGGGGTCAGATATGCCCAGGCTTTGACAGCCACCCAGTCTCAAAACGCAAGGAGCGCGCTTCGCCTGGCGGTGAGCGCATTGAGGTATCTCGGAGAGGCTCACCAGTTGCCACTGATCCTTGCAATAAGAGTGGAGGAGCTGGCAACCAGGCATACTGGCGACGAGAGATATAAGATGATCTAACCAACACGGAGAGACGATTGAAATCTGACGAAAAACAAAAACAATGGGCAATTCAATGGGCTGCACCATCGGCTTTTAGCTGTTGCAGACTGGCACGTTTTTCTTGTTATTCATGAAGTTCTCCGTCGCGTCCCCTTGCTTCTCTGGCGGTTCCCCCCTACCCTATATCTTTTTCAGCTTGTGGTTTGAAGCACTCCCGAACGGCCCCCTGAGAAGGCATAGATAGAAGGGCCTCAATTACAACCTTGTTGCCGAGAAGGTTTTGCCTTGGTCGGCACCTCAACATCAAGTTGTGAGACCTTTTACAGACTCAAGATTCGCCACTGAGTATGCTAGAAAATGTATGTTGGGACTGGCTTGCACATATGATTTAACCAGCTCCTGATTCCTTTTAAGATCCAAGGATCGAAAGCGCCTTGTTTGTCTAGAACATTCCAATATATAATACAACGCCCGTTTCGCAAGTTCCCTTCAAAGGACCGTCTCTCCAATCTGAGAATTAGACGATATGCCACTACCGCTGTCTGATCATTCTAAAGACGGCAAAGGCACTCCCTGCTACCACCGAGACAATGACGATACCAATCGTCATAAATGCTTGATCGAAGAAGCCAACGGCCCTACCTTCGCCCTGCTTAATGGCTGGCAGCGCGGGCTGCAGCACCGCTCGGCTCCAGGACTCCAGCTCCTTGGTCGATCGAGAACGTATGGCATCCTGACTGATGATCGTCAATTCTGATGGATGAGCCAGTCGTGGCCGAGGAGAGCGAAACAGTGTCGGGGGGTACCGCGGGCTCGTGCTCGGTGCAATTGTCGGATGCTTGGGCGCGAAAGGGCCGACTTTTGTTGAAAAACACCGTCAGTACCAATTGCCTCGCTAGGGGGTGATCGGAATGGTACTTACCCAGCAGCTCAGCAGGGATATGATTTATACACGAAAGTCGTGCATCAATAAATCTCGCCGTGTAGTTTGCTTCAGTGGGCGTTGCAAAGACGTAGTTCGCTTCCAGGGCGGTTCCGAGGCTGACAATGCGAGATATCGTGTCAGCCAGTGCCATGCATTTGTTTGGAGCTGGAACGGAGTGCCAGAAGAATACAAATCCTATACATACCTGCTGCATAGGTCGATGGCATCATCCAAGCTCGTGATCCGACTGACAATGATCAGTCGGCCGTCTATCCTGCGTCCAAGGGGGGCTTTTGACCTAGGATCAATGTTCCATAAGCGCTGACCCTGGAGCCGGAATGGCCCGTGCTTACCGATCCTTGACTTCAACTATGCTGCCGTTCGAGCTTGAGACAACCACCCTTACGCCTTCGTTGCCCTCAAATTCCTTCAACGTTCTTGTGTGACCATCGGGCTGTCCCTTTGCTAGATGTGGTGATCTTGGAGGAGTCTCACTCAACAAGGGCGATGTTACCGCCTGGACAAGGTGATACAGAAAGTCGTCGGCGACAAACTCGTTTACGAGAATAACGTCGGGAGCATAGACGGAGCGGCCATTGAAGGACACTCTGGATGCACCAATTGCCCTGGCCGCTTCTGGAATCTTTGCAGTCCTATCCACAACCGCCACAACCTTGGGGGACGGGTTCGAATGCAGGCCGCCCGCTGCCGACACTTCCTCATCTCCAGACTGTGCCAAAACGTGACATTTGGCCAGGAAGTCCTCTGATGGTCTTGTGCTGCTGACGGCGAAAACATCCGCGTCGAGTGCGGAGGGTAAAATCTTGCGTAGCACACCAGAGACTTCTGTGAGCGTAGGAGGTAGCTGGACGCATTTGGAGTTAGAGAGGGGACTGAAATATGTTGACTGGAGACTTCTGCAGGAGGACAAAGAACATACCTCGACGACCACGCAGTTACCAGCCGAAAGAGCCGCAGTGAGAGCTGAGATGACAGAATAGAACAGGTTTTGCTTCGCAGGAATCACATAAACGATGCCAACGCTCGTCGTCGCCTCGAGGTTCTCCGCTGCCCTTTGAGCTTTGAGGTCTTTTTCCAGGTCAATGGAAGCATAGTGCGTGTGCAATTCTGAAATGGCGAGCGCGTACTCGAGATTGGTCTCGGACTCGCTAAAACCACTGTCCGCCAGGATCGCATCTTTGATGAGTTTCTCCGACGATCTCAACGCCGTGTGGAGAGAATGGAACAGTTTCTGGCGAAGTCGCGTCGACTGGGCTCTGCCCTCGATGCTGGATATCTCTATGCGAGAGAAAGAATCGCCTGCCATTTTGACGATCATTTTCACAGGAGACTGGTTAGTTACGTGAGATCTGCGTAGCTGTGCTCTCCCTCATGTTGAGTGAGATCCAAGCGGGAACGCTCTTGCCTCTGATGAACAATAATATCGTAGACATGACCAGCCAGCAGCAGTTCGGTCCGACAGTTACTTGCCCGAGTCGAGGCTCCCATGTCCCTGTTCCGAAGGGGGTTCCGCAGAAAGTGGGAAATCAGCCGATATGGGGTTGCCCGAGGCGCCCCGGAATGGGGGTGAAGTATGTATCCATCAGGCCATCAGGGCATGCCCGGGCGTGATCTCCCCATAGATAGCCGCTGCAAAGGTCGCCCGGACGCCTGGCTGCGGCGTCTCTAGCGGCACCGTCTGGCCCTGGCACGGATGGTGGATTTGGCTACTGCTCCAATTGTCGCAGATCTGGTGGTTACTGAGAAAAAAGAAAGCTGCGTTGCTGTCACTCTCGCTGCAAGCCTCCATTGTTGATTCACTTGCTCCTACTCTTCTTCCCAGAGAGCAAAATGAGCAGCACAGAGACGATTGTAGAACCTACCACGGTTCGGGAAACGCTCCGCGCGTACGATATCCACCAAACTGGAAACGACGAGACACTAGAGCCCCCTACAGAGCAGACACAGAATCAGCCGCATGAAGGACCTATCTCGCAACGCCGTTCAAATTGGCCATCGGACTGGCGACGAATACCTCCGTATCGGCCTTCGAGCCGCTCGCATCGAGTCTCTGACCGACCTGCTGGCCTCGACCGCGTCGAAGGTACAATGGTTATAGTCATGTTTGCGGGTGTTTGGACTTACGGAGTAAGCGAGAATCCTTGCACATCTTTTCACATCTTTTGAATACGAAGCTTAATCCAGAAGGGGGACGTAATGCTGACTTTTGGGGGGGTAATGCAGAATCTCAACCGATTATGGCGCGCGACAGTAGGGAAATGGGATAACAGTATCATGAGATATAAGATAGGGGGAGAGTGGTAGGAGGGAACATTTGGTTTAGTGGGTGAATATTGGTTATGTCATGAGTGTTCCAAGGTCATAACGGGCACCTAAAATGCTAGATTATGTCGGATTTGGCACAGCAGAGGTGATTGTTTGGCGGCTGGATCTAGGCCACACTTCTTCTATTTTGCTGCTGTTGTACCAGAATCATACGTCAACAGCAGTCTCCGTCTACTCTGAAGGTTGGCCTGCCGGAATCAAAGGCATCAATAGCCAATTCTCATGCTCTTGCCCAAAGTGAACATGATTCACGCCGCCGAAAGTCACTTCATCCCGATCTTCCTTCGAATTATGCTCGAACAAGCCTGCACCTTGCGTGTCGCCCGAGGATATCTCCAGCACCAGACGATCTCCAGGTGACACGACAACATTGGTCGGCCAAATCTCCACGTCCACCGAATACACCTGTCCAGGGGTAAGTGGTGCATGATCAGTAGACAGGTATTCGCGATGAGGATGCCATGGTTTGTGTCTCGGGCTTTTATCGTTGACATTTCGCAGACTGACACGGAGCCAGCCTTTGGTCACAGGCACGGGATCTCCAACAGTGCCGGTATATAGGATCTCTTTGCCTTGGGGATTCAAATGTCGGATCGTGATAAAGAGGTCAATGTCGCTCGGCTTGCTCGTCGAACCTTCCGTGGCAGTAACGGAGACATTCAAGTGTGCCATGAAGTGGCCTGTGAACTCGGTCTCCTGTTTGAACGGTTCGCTGGTAAACTGGATAAGATGTTGGTTCTTGAGATCTCCTAAGGCCTCATACGACAGCTTGCTCACGTCCCCAGCATAGGGAGACTCGATCAGATCTTGGCTAGGCGTCAAGTAGTAATGCGTATACTGCGTTCCGGGGATTGGCCAGTCTTTTGCATACCGCGTGGGATAGGCACTCTCGGCGGCGGCATTGTTGAAACCGACGTCGCCTATTCTGACTTTATACCCAACCTTTGGTTGCTTGTCGCATGACCACCCCAGAGGATCATGTCCCTTGAGAAAGGCGTCTAAGAAGCTCCGTTGCATGTCCACACATTCCTTGGTGTAGAATGGAAGGTCGTGACGACCAGTGATGAATCGGATGTACTTGTGCTTGGACCCTGCATTCAGGAACCCTTCAACATTGCCTCGGAGGTGGAGGAGGATGCCACCCCAGTTTCCAACGGAGAGCAAGGGCACCTCGATGTCCGACAGATTGTAGTCTTTGCTCGCATAGTACTCCTCATCGAGGAAGCGGTTCCTGACGTTGTCCACGTTCTGGTCATGGCAGTTGGCACGAAGTTCGTCCTCATCCAAACTACCTTCGATGGTATCTGGGCCCCAGTTTCGTACAGCCCTCCCAGGCCGTCCATATTGGTTGACGATGACCTAAACACGAAGAAGCATTAGCGACGAAAGCTCATAGAAGATCAAGCGCTCACCTGTCGATTCCACCAGAAATCAATGAATGTGTTTGACAAGATGCCGCCGTGACGACAACGGTCGCGGTAATAGTCGCTCATTCCCTCCCAGGGTATCATACAAGCAAGACCTCGAGGGCGCCGCGCTGCAACTCGCCACTGGCTACCGGCGTAGTAGCTAATCCCAAGGAGACCAACCTTTCCTGAAGACCACGGCTGAGAGGCCGCCCATTCAATCACGTCCACGAAACAAAGGCTCGTATCTCTGGACATTGTGTTGAGCACACCTGGTGATTGACCAAGACCAACCTCGTCGGCTCGTACAATTGCATATTCGTGTCGAGTCCAGTATCCAG